TTCCAAAGATTTAAGAAAATTTACAAAAACACATACAAGATTTTAAAAAATTGTCTTTATTGTTGAAAGTATTACATATGTCTCCTTCCCCTCCCCGCATTGACCCCTCCTAGCCCACCCTGCCCCAGGCCCCAGACCTTCACCGTGGCCTACACCATGGCCTACATGAGTTAAGCATATGGTTGATCTCTCCCCACCCACTCTCCCCTGCCTTTTCTCTGAGATTCCGCAGTCTTTTCTATGCTTCTATGTCTCTGGACCTATTTAAAAAAATATTTTTATTGATTTCAGAGAGGAAGGGAGAGGGAGAGAGATAGAAACATCAATGATGAGAGAGAATCATTGATTTGTGGCCGGCAACCCAGGAATCCAATCGTGACCTCCAGGTTCAGAGATCTATGCTCAACCACTGAGCCACACTGGCCAGGCTCTCTGGATCTATTTTGTTCATCAGTTCATTTTGTTCATTAGATTCCACATATGAGTGAGAGCATGATACTTGTCTTTCTCTTACTGGCGTATTTCACTTAGCATAATACTCTCCAGGGGAGGAAATTGAGGATGAGGGAAAAGAAAGTGACACCCAGATCTCCTACTGTGATGTAAACAGTGGCCAGCACAGAGCTCCCTCAAATCATCTTTGGAAAGGAAAAAGTATAAATAGTTTCCAGCACAGTACTTTTTTGATAAGGAACTGCAATTCTGGATTCCTATGTAATGTAGCAGTAGGTATTATTGAGAGGGTAACCTCTGCTGAGAAAACAGGTAGCTTTTAATTAACATAAACTGTATTTCAAGGTTTGACTGTAGTACTGGAATAGTTAAGAAAAGGTGTTGTTTTTTTCAGAGACCATTTCCAACCTTCTTAATATTCCACGGCAATCACCCTTTTAAGTGTGATCTGAGAGGGTCCTCTGAATTTGATTGTGATGCTTTTGGCACATGTATCTTTTAAAACCATTGCATTAACAGCAGAATTGTTATCTCTGGTAAGTTATTTTTTCTTTTCAGAAGGATTGGATGAAAAGTTTTTGCATTTTGTCAGAATGGTCTACGGACCAAAAAAGTTTCAAAATGATTTCATTTGTCAAGTGGTATCAATGAAGAAATGAATTGAATTCTTGTGGCCAAATACTTTACTCTCTGTGGGTGGCTGGACTAAGACTTTGTGAAAGGGGCATGGGGGTGGTATACTTAGACCCATAACATATGTTCCCATTCCTGGGAAAATAGCTGAAAAAAAAAGCCTCTTCTAGGGAGAGCTATCTTCTATCCAACATATCTATGGGCTAAGAAGAGACAATGCTGTGACTTCCCTCCTCTCCAACTCCACTTGTCTTCCTCTTCAGCACGCCCCCCCCCCCCCATCAGCTTATTTCCTTTAAAACTGAAGTGTAAAATAGTACAGTGTTTACACTACTTAGCTTTTAAAGTGATTCTTGTACTTAAATATGAGACTAAAATGTGTTTTGGAAGAGATCAACCCCATTGTTGGATTCATATAAAGTCTTGTTGTGCCTGCTTGTGATTTTTAGGTCACTTCCCTGGAAGTCTATCTTTTGTACAAGTTAAGTGCCAAGTAACCATACAACTTCTCTTATCCTATGAGAATAGGTCAGAAGTATAAGTGCTTTAGAACTGGGACTCAAACTCGTAAATGGACTACGAATTCTTTTTAGTTGTCACACACAAATGTAGTTTCAGTGCTGGACTTACAACCCCATCCCTGGCACAATGTTGTCACACAAAATATAATAATCACAGTAACTGGATTCTTGTGTGAGTCAGATTTCTAGAAAAAGGCTGTCGTGGACAGCATTTCCATCTCTTTAACTTAACCTTTCTTGGCAATTAGATCTAAAGGTAACAGGCAGAGATAGATGTCTCTTAGTTGGCAACGCACACACACACAAAACAGCATTTTCCTCCCCATGATGACAGCAAGATATCAAGGATGCCAGAGAAAAGGAGTGTTAACTTAATCTAATAAGTGAGACGAGATCTTAAAGTATAACTAAAATGTCCCAAGGAAAAAAAAATACTCGCTGAGATTCACTATTTAAAAAACGTTGGCAAGCGTTAATGGTTTTTTTTCCACGTTTGACTTGTTACCAAGACGATTAAGAAACAAGGGAATATGATTATGTGACTGGATTTTTAAAATAAAAAAGTATTCTGCACCTCTGAATATATATATACACACATATATATTTACATATACACACATGCCACATTTTAAATGAAATATACTTAAAAGTGGCTGTTTTGGGTCCACTGGCAAGGAGGCCTCCTCTCTGCGAGGTGAATTATTTCTTTGTTTTTAAGTGCCTGCCTCCAGGGTACACAAGTGGGAGATGAACTGGAAGGAAACCTGGGACTCAGGGGGATGGGGCCGAGATGGCTGGGACCGAATCTACGAGCTGAATGTCAGAGAAAATCCTCCTCCAGCCTCGGAAGGGGTGTCTCCCCCAATACCAGCTCCCTCCCCCCGGGCTCGCGGGGCGGGTCTGCTTTGCTCAGTTGAAGCGGCGGCCGCAGCAGCAGCCCCGGGGCTGAGCGGCGGCGGCCTCCCGGCGGTGCAGGGAAGCGGTGATTCCAAGCGCGCGAGGCCCAGGGGAGATCCGGCCGAGGCTGCCGCCGGGATGGAGGAAGCGTCGAGTGGAGCTGAGCCACCGGGGAACGATTTCCTCCCCAGCTCAGCTCCGCTCCAGCTTGGCAAGGCCTGTGTCGAGCGCCTGCGAGGTGGAAGAGGCCTGCGCCTCGGGCCTGGCAGCGGCAGCCGGCAAGCAAGTCGGGCACAGCGGGGTAATAGGCGAGCTGTAGCCGCTTTCGGGAACCTGCGCCGCCTAGGCCGCTCATTGTCTCTCCCCTCCACCCGGGGGGCAAACAGGAAGCGCGCAGCCGGGCCGAGCGACGGACAGGCGTCCAGACCAATGAGCACCGCCGACAGTGAGCGTGGCGGCGAATGAACGCGGAGAAGAGGGGCGGGACTTCCGGGCGGGCTGTCACCCTCTTCCCCCCTTTTGGGCTGGAGGCTCCACCTTTTGTGTTTCCCGCACAGTCAATCAAAATAGGAAAAAAAATTCCCCGGACCGCTCCGGCCGTGTCCGCCGCCGCTTCCCGCATCCTCTCCCGCCGCCGCCGCCTTCGCTCCTCACCATGTGTAAGGCGGCGGGGAGCCCCGCCTGAGGTGCCCTAAACACACTATGACCGGTACGTAGAGCCGAGAGAGCAACCCTTGCTGCTGCCGCCGCCGCCGCTGCCGCCGACCACAGCCCGCTCCGGGCCGCCGCTGCCGGCTCCCGGCCCCGTGTGTGCGACCGAGTGTCTGTGAGAGGCAGAAAGCCGCAGTCCCCTCCCCGCCAGCCACGGTCCACCCCTCCAGCCCCAGCAGCGCCGTGTCCCCTCCGGGCCCCGGGCGGGCGGCCCGGTCCGCCGGGAGCGCATCCCCTTGCGTGCGGGCGCGGGCGGCGGGCGGGCGGGCGTGTGAGTGACTGACGGTGCGAGAGGAGCGAGCGCGAGTGCGAGCGAGCGGCGCGGAGGGAAAGGGGAGGAGAGGAGAGGAGAGGGGGCAGGGGCAGCGCGGGGAGGAGGAGGAGGGATAGAGGAGGAGGAGGAGGGTTACAGCGCGGCGGGCGGGGGCAGCCGCGGGAGGGGAGGAGGGAGCCGCCGCCGCCGCCGCCGCCGCGGGGCGGGTGGGGGAGGGGAAGGGGAGTCGGCCCGGGCTTTCGGAATAATTTCGACTCGGCCCGCGGGCCCCCTCCCTCTCCTCCACCCGCCTTCCTCCCCACCCCCCCGCGCTGTGCCTGCAGCTCCTGAAAAGCCTGTGAAACAAGAGGAAATGGCTTGCTTTAGACGTGGACAGCGGTGGCGGGGCCGCGGCGGCGGCACGGCGAGTATCTGCAGCACAGCAGCAGCAGCAGTATGGAAACGCGCGTGGGGGTGCTGCGGCCCAGTGAGGCGCTGCTGAGCCTCGGTCGTGTTCCTCTCGGCCGCTTTTTCCTCCCTAGTTTTCTTCCATATGCTTTTTTTCTTCATCTCTTGCCCT